GGGTTTAGGGTGTTAGCGTTTAGGGTTTCGGGTTTAGCGCCAACAGCGGGGCCATGGGGGGAGAGCTGCGTCGCGCATCTGTGGGGGTCTAGGGTTTAGTGGCTTCGGCGTTTAGGGCTTAGGGGCTGCGGGTTTAGGGGTATGTGTTTCCTTTAAGAGTTCCTTCACGGGTCCTGCAATGAAGGAGCATTCCTTGAACCCTAAATCAAAAGATGTTGGAGTCTTTGGGCAGCATGCAACACCCCTAATATAGGGGCCTAGATAATTACCTAGACTATTTTGGGTGTTCCTTATTATAATTATGCTTTCACGGGCACCAAAACCTGTTCGAATTATTAAGGCCCCTACATTAATTTGCGCCCTTGAACCTCACGGCTCCAACCCTCGAAGCCCCTTTCACAGCCTCAAAGCGATCGTATGAGACGACCCCGTGAAACCCCCGGAATCCTAAACCGCGACACTCCTAAAACCCTGCACCCCCAAACCCGCAGCTCCTGAGCCCCTGAAGCCTGCACCTCCGGAGCCAAGACATTATCTATACATATATATATATATATATATATATCCCTAAACCCGAAACCCTAAGCCCTAAAACCCTAAACCCTAAACCCGAAACCCGGAAACCCTAAAACCCTAAACCCCTAAACCCTAAATCCTAAAACCCTAAACCCTAAACCCTAGTTATATCTGGTATACTTTAAACCACCCTCCTCCCCCCCCCCTCCCCACAAAAAAGAACGCCTTAGGAGGCATGGCTCTTGCTGCGCTTCAGAGGACGGCTGCCGAACAGAAAATGAACCTTCGAGCCGAAAAAGGAGGCAAAGGATGGGGAAGGAGGGGACCCTAAACCCTAAACCCTAAACCCTAAACCCTAAACCCTAAACCCTAAACCCTAAAGTGTTCGGTTTAGAGCTTTAGGGTTTTAGGGTTTTACGGCTCAGGGCCTTAAGGATTCGAGGCTTTAGGGTTTAGGGTTTAGGGCTTTAGGGCTTTAGGGTTTAGGGCTTTAGGCTTCAGGGCTCCTGGGTTTAGGGCTTTAGGGTTTAGGGTTTAGGGCGTACTGTCGGAGACATGGTGATGCTCGGAATGCTGGCTGCAAAACACAGAATAGAAACAGCGGCCTGGACCATGGTGCTTGTCACAGCCACAAGAGCAAGGAAACTCTCCATGAATGAGAGTTCACGAAGCAGCTGAAAGCAACGAGCCAAGCTCATCATACCCTGCTTTTGGGTTCTGGCGGCGACAAGATGATGTACTTGCAGGCTAAGGGGGGAGCACTTTGACTCTCCGGTAGTCTGACACGGCAGTCGCGCATTCTCTTGTTGAGCACGCTTCTTCCGTGCAGCCTAAACTAACTTCTAAAAAAATTGAGGAAAGTGTCTAAGGAAAAAGAAAGGCGCTCTCGGTTTGCCACAAAAGCCTCTTTCGACACATATCCTGACATGCGTCATCATAACATGGTCAACAGAATAGCATCTGCAGGACGGACAACCGCAGGACAACTAACTAACAAGCTACAGAGAGGCGAGCTTGGCCTATGCTGCGAGAGTCTTATTAAAAAGGGCCCTGCGAGCCCTGCCTATGCAGAAATCTGACACCTCCCTGTGCCAGGATGTTCTCCGGCTTTTCCGCGGCATAGCAGTTGCCGCAATACAAGGAGATGACGAACTCACAGGAGGAGTTCGACAAGTAGGACCTGCTTCAAGATAAGGTTCGGGGCTTGGGGTCAGGGCCGTTGGTGGCACGCTGCGAGGCAACAGACTCGCAGCTTCAGTCATGCTCGTCCTTCTGGATCCCATACTGTGGCACATCATACTAGATACTACATTATCGTATGTTATACCATATTCGAGTACAGTATCGGGTGGTAGTCCGGACAGTCTGTTACGTCCTAGCAGCCCGAAGACACAGACGTGCTATGACATCCTCTTAGATTACTCCTAGGATCATGTAGGGCTGCGGGTTGTTTAGGGTTTAGGGCGAGCCCTCCAGGTAATATAGGGGCCTCAACAATTACCTCTGCTGTTTTGGGGCTTTCCTCATTATAAGTAAGGTATGTATAACGGGCCCCAAAACCCTATTCTAATTGAGGCCCCTATGTTATTGCTCGCAGGCAAGATACTGCTGAATTTCCTTCCCAGTGTGCAGAGTGTTGCCTCACGTACAGAGCCTCCACGTTGGTCCCTTCCCTAAACCCTAAACCCTAAACCCTAATTCCAAAGTGTCTCGAGGATAGCTACAACTGCAGGAGCAGCAAACTCTATAGGTCTCCTCTGCTGTTTCTGCTGCTTCTACTTCTGCTACTGCTTAATAATTGGAATAGGGTCCTACTTGGGTTTAGGTTTTAGGGTTTTGGGTTTCGGGGTTCAGGGTTTAGGGTGGCCCAGGGGACTTAGTAAGTAGGTTATAAGTTATAAGTAGAGTTGTCAGATAGGGCTTGGGAGTTTAGGGTTTGAGGTTTTGGCGACTTCAGGCTCAGCAGACGAGGACCACGAACAACAAACCCTAGACCCTAAACCCTAAACCCTAAACGTTAAACGTAGCCGCCTGTGTACTTCGGCAAGAAAGTCATGTCCAGGACACAGGGGTTGGCTCTTCACCTGCGTCTGCTTTGGACCCCGTCGGCTCGCAGGGTCTTGGGGCTTTAGGGTTTAAGTTTTGGAGGTTAAGACTTTAAGAGCTTAGGGCCCCAGAGTGCACGGTTTGATGATATTTAGGCTTCTGGGGTTTGATTGTTTCGGGTTCAGGGGCGGTCGTCTCTACTTACATGGTCTTTTCTCACTGTTCCTGTCGTTTGGCTGCTGCCTCACAAGATGGGTGAGCTTCCGAATTCAAGGCGAACCTGCATGGAGGGTCTAATCCTAAGAGCGGCGGCTGAACTCATTCAGGGTTTAGGGCTTAGGGTTTAGGCGCCCTTCATCTGGAGGCTCCTGAACCGAAAACCCCTAAAAGGACCCCAAACCCTAAACCCATGCCAATCCCGAAGGCTCACCCCTAAACCCTAAACCCTAAACCCCAGCTGAAAACCTCCCAGACCGACTTTTGGCAAGTGAAAAAAAAAGCCCTTTGGTAAAAATCATGCAACCCTCGATCGCCTCTAGACTTCCGAAAAAACAAAACACCTAGCACTTGGGTACTGCCCCCACCCCGTAACAGTCTATATTAGAAGTCATATTAAGGGCTACATATAACCATATTATAGATATTACCCAACTGATACAGAGTGCGGGCAGTACCCAACATAGTACCTCAAAGGCCCTCAGACCAACTTCCCGACAAAAAGCTCAGGCCAAATGCCCGCGTGGAGCTGGATGTTCGTCTCTTGGCATTAGATCCGACATCTTAAAGACCCCAAAACCCGAGACCCTAAACCCTAAACCCTACCCCTAAACCCTAAAAGACCTAGGACCTAAATCCCCGGACACTGCATCCTCAGAGCATCACGAAAACTCTAAACTTTACCCTGTGCTTGAAAGCCCTGAAACCTCACACCCTAGTGGCACTAATGCTATACCCGAACCTGCAAGCCCTCATACCCTGAACCTGCAAGGAGTCTTGGGGTTCAGGGCTCGTAGATGGTTCAGGGTTTCGGGTTCAGGGTTCAGGCTTTAGGCGTTCTCGGTGGCGTAGAATACCACAGTAGGATTGCTGGGCCGGGTTCCCGACGCAGAACCAATGCTCCAGCACGCTGAGGGGGCGGGGCTCCTTGTGCAGGAAAGTGGAGGGTTGATGGTTTAGGGTTTAGAGTTCAGGGTTTGAGGGAACTAGGAAAACGGGTCGGGCGTACTGCTCATTAACACGATCACCTTGTCAGCAATATTCCATGGACAATTGCTGTCTCATTTCACCATCAGAGATACCGCTTGCATTGTAACGCTTCCGACCCAGACGTCTAGTAGCAATACGAGTCTAATCCCTAGTCCTAGTACTACGCTACAAGCACTACCAAGATTTAGTAAGGTTTGAGCCGCTACTCTAACAGTACCCTTTCTAGTGCCAATACCCTGACTATGCCTGTTACAGGTACCATTCACTGCTACTAGTAGTGCTACTACGACGCGTACTGCTACTTCTACTGCTACGGTTACTGCCACCCTAAACCCTAAAAATCAACCCTAAACCCTAAATTAAACCCTAAACCCTAAACACCCAAACCCTAAACCCTAAACCTCAACCCTAGACCCTAAACCCTAAACCCTCGACCCTGAACCATAAAGCCTAAACCCTAAACCCTAAACCCGAACCCCGAACACCTAAACCCTAAACAGCTAAACCCCTAAACCCACAAAACCCTAAACCCTAAACCCTAAACCCTAAACCCCTAAACCCCTAAACCCTAAACCCTAAACCCTAAAGCCCAAATCC